CGCACACTCTCAGCGCACAAGAAAACCTATCCAGCGCAGTGAAGGCACTTCAAATGAATTAAATACATATATTTTTTTCTGTATCATTTTGCTGTGTAATTCATTGAGTGACAAATGTCCAGCCAATCATATGATACGATGCAATGACACTATGGAGCCAATCACGGGATTGACAGTACTTGCGCATGTGCTCGGCTTATACACTCTCCATAGGAATATCAGTGCGGTGGCGGATATAAGTGACGCTAATGCTAACCCCTTATCATGGCGAAACAAGAGGGCAGTAAATGCGATACGTTGACTCCCCAAACCAAAATAAAAATGAACTGCGGTTCTTTTAAGTTGGAATGGCTGTCGCAGTATGTGCAAATAAAAGAGCAAGCGGTGAAACTGGGTGAAATCTTTTTCGAGTGAGAAAGGTTTGCTCTGCAAAACATGCAAAGTTGGAAGCAAATTTTCCGATGGAAAATATGGACTGAATGGAAGCTGGACTACCTCAAGTGACACATTCAGCAGAAAAGTCATTTGAATGCTGTTGGAATTATACGAAGACTCAAGATGGGAAAAGGGATTGGTACATGATTTCGGGGAGAAAAAGAATCGGCTGTCCCACAGGGAAAAAAAAAAATTCTGACCCTGAGCAAGTTAAAATCCGCATTGACAATATTTTATTTAAGCCATGAAACTTTCGATGAGCCCAGGTGTGATACTGGTGTGTGGCCACAGCGAGCACTTATGATGTTACTCACAGTGGTCCTCGATGTGCTCAGGGAGGTTGTCTGTTTGCCCAGACATATGAAAAATTAGAAGGAACATTGCTTATAGGGACAATTTAGAGCGTCCCATTTACCAACCGTGCATGTTTTTGATTGTGAGATTGTCAAATTAATTTCTCTAACCCGCTCAACCCCCATCAAAAATAAAAAAAACTGGATTATTTTGAAAGTCCTCTTAAAATTCTTCCTATAGGCTATAAAATGCCTCTGTTGAATTCATTACACTCGCTTGAATTTTTTTGTAGCATTATTTCAAAAGACATTGTTTTTGATACAGCAGAAACATAAAAATAACGTTTCCAAGGCTTTTTACAAAAATATTTTTGAGTGCAGAAAAATAAACACAAAAATAAATAAAACTAAAACAAATTGAAGGCAATATAATCATTGGGACTCTTCACATGGAAACAGATTTTTTGTGTTGCAGTTTCCACCAAACCATATAACCTTTCACTTATTTTTCCAGTAGAATTAAAGATTGTAAATATTTGTTTAGCTCTTTTTTTTTTTTTTTTTTAACATGTTAGTGACGGGCACTTATTTCTCAATTTTCTGGAGTGTATATGATATTTACCCAGTATAATTATTATATTTATCAAATTTGACAACAAAGGGGACTCAATTTTTTTTTTTTTAGCCAATCAGACTTCAAAATTAGTGTGACTACTGGACATAAGTAAAAAAAGATGCTCAATAGTTTCACTGTGTGTATAACAGAAACCACGGCGGTCCACCTCAAACCCAAATCTCATTCGTAATGTTTCAGCAGCTGGATAATAATAATGGCTGATCTTGAATTGCATGTCTTTATCTTTTGAAGGGATTGGCCATTTCAAATATTTTACATTCATTAATAATAACATTTCAAAAAAAAGTCCGTAAATCCCACTTTCTTGAAAATACTTTTCGGGATATGGAACTATATGTATTCGGTTTGCGATAGAAAGTCTTTTATCCAATTTATTCTAAACATTCCTATTATGGATTCAAAGTCCTGTCAAGGTTCGAAACGAACCGAATGATGTTTAGGATCCCAGAAACGTACACACCAAAAAAAAAAAAACCCCATAAAAATCCAGCTTCTTTCATCTTAGACAGCTGGCTAAAGTAAAACCTCTCCTTTCTCATGAGCACCTTGAGATAGTAGTTCATGCCTTCATCACATCCCGTCTCGATTACTGTAATGCACTTTACTTTGGAGTCAGCCAACCCTCCACTAAGCGTCTCCAGCTGGTCCAGAATGTTGCTGCTCGCCTCTTGACTGGTACTCGTAAGAGGGAGCACATAACTCCTACTCTGGCAACCCTTCACTGGCTCCATATACATTTTAGAGTTATTTTCAAGATCCTATTATTTGTTTTCAAATCTTTAAATGACCTCGCGCCACCTTACCTCTCTGAGCTCATCCGCCCCTACATACCTGCCCGGCGCATCAGATCTGCGGACATTGTTAGAAGTACCAAGAACCAAACAGAGGCTCAGAGGGGATCAAGCCTTTTCCTTTGCTGGTCCCTCTCTCTGGAATATGCTCCCACTGAACATTCGGCAAGCCCCCTCGCAGCCCATCGTGAAAAACCACCTCAAAACTCACTTGTATTCTTTGACTCAGCATGACTCAGATTTGACCTTAGTTTTACTGTTTGGTGCCTACTATGATCTTTGTTACTGATTTATTGCTTTATTGTTGTATATATGTTAGTTGCTACATGTACAGCACTTTGTATGCAGTGATGGCTGTTTGAAAGTGCTCTATGAATACAGTTGAGTTGAGTCGAGTTGAGGTAAAAAAAAAATATATTGACAAAAACAAAAGCGCACCGACAAAGGATGAACAGAAATTGCTGGTCAATAATAACCAAGAGGAAACAACACATTAACAAAAAAGTGCTTGCAAAAGGCAAGGAAATAGTTCAACCGCCAATACCAAACGAAATGGCGAGAGTCCAATTCACACGACAAAAGTAAGCTTAAATGACTACACAAAGACTATACTTTGTTGATTTGTCTTTTAAAAATAAAACCATGTCATACACAAATTGATTTATTCAAAATTCATAATCTCCAAACGTAATCCCATTAATTTCTGAGTGATTAATGATCAAATATGCTAATATTTAGGACACAGAATGAACATTTTGGTGATCACTCACTTGATTTTGCTTCTCTCATATTTTTATATTTCAGTCACCATTTGAATCAATTCCACTTGATTGCATTCATTACATATTTTGCATTTCACATTTTCATCTTTTCCCACAATTTATTGGATCCATGTTTCTTTAGTGATGAAAAAGGCGTCCTTTCCTCGTAAATATTTCCATTGTTGCATATTGTATTTTCTTGCCCTTGTTGGCCACAATAGCTATATTATATGCTTGCTCATTTCAAAAGCCTAAATATGAGGTGAAAAAATATTTGAAGTGGCTTTTGCAATATATATATTTTTAATTTCTAATATTTCTTTCAAATTTCCTGATCCGACTTATTACTTTGACTAATATTATGACTAATTGTGAATTATATTTTTCCTCAAACTGTGACCAGTTGTATTTCTACAGCATTTTCGCTAAAGCTACTTTTTTCACAGTTCGAGCCTTTTCGGACGACTACATTTCCGATTACTGTAATCATGTTCGGAATAGAAATTGAAGAAAAAAAGAAGGCACAATCCTCATACCCACACTCCACTTTTTTTCCATTATATAATCTTGATTGAACATGTCAGATTACAAAAGCATAGAGAACCCCACGCACACAAACGTATGTGTACACGCACACAGAAACGTATGTGTACTCTATTTTTATTCCAATAGTGCATAAGTATGAGCACACACTTATTTGACACTTCATATTGTCAGTGTAGAAAGAAAAAAATGGGAAAGAAATTGCGAAATTTACGATCAGCTTTCACTTTCACTTACATCAATTTCTTGGATGTCTTATTTTGCTTGCTCCGTCTTTCATTTTGATCACGTTTACCCTCTCTTCCAGCATCAGAGCTCTTCTTGTCTAAGCTGCTTGACATCCAAATGTCTGTTTTGTAGCCATTTTAGCAACGCAACATCCATCCTCGTCTGAATCTAGCAATAACAAATACTTCCTGGCATGCAATGAACTTTTAAGCCAGCCACAGGATGCTTCGTAGTCCTCGATGGCCATAGTTAGCTCTCGAAGGCTAAAAACCTTACGCTAACTGGAGCGCTTCATTAGAGTTTTTTCATTGGTTGCTTAACAATGGCAAACGTGCCACTATTTCAGTTGGAAGACATTTTATATCAACAGCACTCATAGAATTAATTTCGCATCACTGGAGGCATCGAGGGTAACAGGCATTCAATGTTGTTTTTTGGCCTTGCAGCTTACATGCAGAGATTTCTCCAGGTTTTTCGGAATCTTTTGATGATTTTACAGACCGAAGATGAAATCCAAATATTCAGTTGTACGTTCAGAGCTTTTCAAACCGTTGGACTACTTGCTCACGCATTTTTTCACAAAGTGATGAATCTCACCCAATCCTTTCTTGTCAACAGCCGAGGCTTTCAGGGATGCTTTTTTTTTTTTTTTGGAATACTCAATCATGAAATTCTTTTGTTTCCAATTAACCTGTTCACAAAACAAATGTTTCTGGAGCATTCATCAACTTTTCCAGTCGTTTGTTGCCCCTGACCCAGCTTTTTTGGACCTTATTGCAGGCTTCAAACTCAAAATGTGACATCCATTCCATCCATTATCCGTTTGGAAGAAAAAAACAAAAACAAAGAAGAACAATCCCATTCCCATTTTTTATCTTGTCTTTGTAGTGTATTCAGTTGAAAAAAATAATTCCATTTCGGTTTTATTTACGTTTCATACACCATCCCAACTTCATGACAATTGGCACTACAGTAATCCCTCGTTTATCGCTGTTAATGGGGACCAAAACCACCCGCGATAAACAAAAATCCGCGAAGTAGCAACCAATAAACACACACGTGTATATGTATATATATATATTTTTTTTTTTAAAGTCCGCAAAAAGTCCGCAAACGGTCTGCGAGAAGCTGCAAAACAACAGCGAGTCACATAGAGCAACATATACAGTACTGTACTCCATGTATATGGGGGAAAAAAAAAAGATGAATGTTTGAAAAAATCAGCGATGCACTGAAGCCGCAATAAACGAACCGCGAAATAGCGAGGGATCACTGTACTCTGAAACAAAAACAAAACATAGCAAGAATGTACACTGAGTGTTTGTCGGACTGTGTGTTTTTTGTGTACCTGTTTAGTCTCTCAAGAACGGAGTCATCTGCCAAGGAGATCTCATCCATGAGGAACACCCCACCGTTTTTCATGGCCAAAACCAAGGGCCCATCATGCCACTGAAAGAACTTGCATTCATCACCGTCAGCCTGTAACCATACACGAGGTTAGTTATTTAGCCATTTCGCATCAATTTTATGTCTTCATATATCCATTAAGTAATAATCCGCACATTGATGACACTAAATAATGCAATCACGGAGGGACATGCAGGTTCGAGAATAGGTAGCTCTTCCTGGAAAGGAGGAGAATACTTAGAAAAAATTGTCCTGTGTACTGTATAAGCTTGGTCAGAAACTTTAATCATGGTTGGTCATTTGGAAGCAATGCAAACCATCTATAACCTGAACAAATGTTTTTCTGTTGCTCAAATATGACTGTAATTGCTAAAGCCCATTTTCCGATCCGCTTATCCTCACAAGGGGGGTGCTGGAGCCTATCCCACCCGGTTGCCAGCCAATTGCAGATAATTGCTAAACTTTTTATCTAGAAACATACCCGATTGGAATGGAGGAAGATTTTCTACGGCAAAGAGGCATTTTGGTTTCATTTTCGATTGAAGTAAAATTTTGTAATGAAAAGAAACGTGACAAGAGGAATTTTAATTGCTGCCCGAGCGTTGAAATGCTCACATTTTACGATTATCCCCCTCCATTGCAATTAATTCGTATTTCAAAATTACAGTACCAAACTAGTGTGCCACCATCAAGCGGTCAACAGTGGAATTGGACCCATGTTAAATGGGAAGCAGAACAAAATTGTCGCAAACTGATCTAAAAAAAAAAAAAAACATCTGAGAAATAGTGACGCCACTTCTCGAACACCTGGTGCCATAGCGCCTGACGTTGAAGCTAACCTTAGGAAGCTGGCACACAATAGGCCTAGACAACAGCGGAAGGCTAATAACATTAGCTACTTAGATATAGTTATACACTTCGGCTCCAACAACACTAGGATGAGACAATCAGAGATCACAAAGAACGTGATAGCAAAGGCTTTTGATCTCGCCAGAAAGATGAGTCGACATCGAGGAATTGTTTCTGGCCCCTTACCCGCGAGAGGCAATGGTGAGAGGTTTAGCAGATTACTCGTTAGTTGGCTAGCTTTTGTGGCGAACAGGGACTGCGGTTTGTACATAAATGGCCATCTTTCTGAGACCGACCCGACCTGCTGTTGGATGGCCTTCGACCTAACTGGGATGGCACCATCACTCTTTCTAGTTTTACAGTTTGAGCATTCAATGACAATCCACATCAGAGCAGGGCGTATTACAGGTCATTAGCGAGCCTGTAAGAACAGGTGTGGAGTCTGTAAGGCTAAAGCGAGCTTGCGCTATGCTAGACTTGACGTAGCTTTCTACGTCGATTTGAGCTTCACACTCAACATACATTACCTATGCTGCATTGCACACTGAAATGTTTTCTACTGAGGTGGTGCTACAAGACAATTTTTAATAGTTCAACACATATGGGGTTTGTTTTGTTTGAAAATAAACCAGCAAGCCAAATAAGCTACGAGGGAAAAATAGTTCTGTTTTTATCTATAAGTTCAAAAATTAACTGTGCATCAGTACCTGAGAGGAATGTCGGACAGGTCGCAACCCTCCCAGAAAGTCTGATGTTTCCATGTGAAGGTGGCAGTTGACAGAAAAAAGCTTCTTCCCAGTCACAGCAGCATACAACTGGCAGATTGTAGTCTTTCCACACCTGAAAAAGTTGTGGGGGAGCATGCGAGTGTGTGGGAGGCAGAGGGGATGGGGATAGAAGGAGACATGAGCATGACTTGTGCAATCATAGTTTCACCTCACCTCACAAATCAGGCAAGTCACGAACAAATCAGTTGAGGAATGAGATTTTTAAATCAAATTTTGGTTCAGGTCAAAAGTCATGCTTCAGTTTTCGAAAAGTCATTACATTCACGTGGAAAGCTTCAATGATCACTCCAGGTATGATGTATTTCATGGAAGGGGAGTAAATCTGTTTTTTTACTCGAATTTTGCCCTTCATATGGCTTCCATTTTTTCCCATCCACCCATCAATTATCTGAACCGTTTACCCTATGAGTATTGCAAGCATGCTGGATTGTATCTCGGCCATCTTCGGACAGTAGTTTTTATTTTTATTTTTTTCAATTTCAAATTATTTAAAAATATTTGTTTGGCCCTGTGTACATCTTTTTTTTCCTCCCCAAGATGTCGCCCGAGTGGGCAGCTGTCGCCAAGTGCTCTTCAAGAGCCTTGCTTTTTTGTTATGATTTTTGTCTTTTTGTTTTGTCACATGGTGTTTGTTATTACGTCGTGTGGGACTGATGTGGATTGTTTTCAGCGTTTTTTGGCCACGACATTCGTCAAAAGAGAAGAATCTGTGCTTGGTGGTTGCGCCTTCTCGGCAGCACGCATGTACCAGCACTGATTTTGACTGTGAGGAATGTCGGCGCCATTTGACTGTCGGTGCTGGACAGCCCCGGGCAGCCTGTGTTTTTTGCGCCTGTAATGGGCAGCATCTGTCACAGCCCCGTTTTGTTCAGCGGAGATGTCGGCGCTGTTGGAAAGTCTGCTTTGGTGCAGCTGGATGGATGGCCGAGGTTGAAGAGAGAGGAACTGAGAGTATTTGGAACTGAGAGTTGCCACTTGGAATTGAAGTGAACTGACATGGGACAGGAGAAGTGAACCAATCTCTTTTTTTCGTCAATGGATGCTACAGCTTCTTGTTTACTTTGAAACTTAGCTTGTAGCCGATGTGTGCACATTTTGAGCAAGACGTCTCTGATCCACTGGTGAAAGGACATTTTGATTCTCTCCTCTTTCATCTAGAACTGCTTCAAACAACAAAGTGTATGAGGGAAAAGTGGTTAAGATTGCGCGACTGTCCATGTTTTTATGCTATGTGTTGTGTTTATTATTTTACTTTATGTTAACTGTTTTGTTAAGCGCTTTGTGACAGCTGCAGCTGTTGTGAAAGCACTATATAAAATAGGGTGTATTTCATCTTTTAATATAGTGTGATATCCAACGTTCATGGTTTTCCAGCAGTGCCGTAATTAAGTAGTTGTGGGTGGTAATAGCCTTGCTGCTGCTATGTTGAACCTAATTTTTTAAATGTTAGTACTGTATATGTGTGCGGTGTTGGAGGTGTAGTTTGTCTCAAGTTAATTCTGCCAATGAAGTATACCATGCCACCCGCAGCTTGCTTTCTCCCAAATCTTTGCATCCCATTTTGAAGATCGATGTGTCTCAATTAGGGGTGTAATACAAAACAATTTCAATCACAAAATCGATTTTAAATTTTTCAAATTAAACTGAATCTTTAAAATATGACTCGATACGCATCGAATCTTCTTTTATTGGAGCAATACGTCTGAAAGAAATACTAAATTTACTGTCCTGCCAAATTAATTCGGCGGCCCGGTGTGCCAGTGGTTTGCGCGCCGACCTCACAGTGCAGAGGTCATGGGTTCAATCCCGGCTCCGGCCTTCCTGTGTGGAGTTTGCATGTTCTCCCCGGGCCTGCGTGGCTTTTCTCTGGGTACTCTGGACTTCCACATTCCAAAAACATGCATGGCAGGCTGATTGAACACTCTAAATTGTCCCTAGGTGTGAGTGTGATTGTGGTTGGGTGTTCGTCTCTGTGTGCCCTGCGATTGACTGGCAACTGGTTCAGGGTGGCCACCCCCGCCTACTGACCCAAGACAACTGGGATAGGCTCCAGCACCCCCCTTGTGAGGATAAAGGGGATCGGAAAATGTATGGATGGATGGACAAGTTAATTCATAGTCATAGTCAAATGCAGTAACGGGCGGTGAGTTTTGGACCTGTGCTTTCAGTGGGTCCAGTCCACCTCTTAATAACGCCATAACGTCACAATATGTTTAAAAAAAACAAACAAAAAAAAAAAAACAATATAATGAAGAACATGTTACTAAACTGTTCCTAACAACACATTTGCAGATTCACAGACGATTAGACGATTGTCTGTATAGACTCCCTTCCAAGCACTCTTACCCGTACGCATTGAAAAGAAAGATATTTGATATTTGAGGAAATTACGGGAAAAAAACCTGTTACCTTTATCTTCAATACATCACCTCAAGAACTCAACAGTACAATATAGTACCTCACAATAAATTTTTATCGAGATGAAACTTAATAACTTTGCGTTCCCCAGAGATGTTAATGCAGAAGCCTGTGTCTGTGTACGCTAAATTGCTGACTCACACATAACTACTCTGTAATCGTCTTTTATTAGAGAGATCAGAGATGAAAGTGGACTTTTCTGAAAATTCCGGAAAAAATAAAGAAATAAATAAATGTGTGTGTGTGTGTGTGTGTGTGTGTGTGTGTGAGGTTGAAGAGAGAGGAACTGAGAGTATTTGGAACTGAGAGTTGCCACTTGGAATTGAAGCGAACTGACATGGGACAGGAGAAGTGAACCAATCTCTTTTTTTCGTCAATGGATGCTACAGCTTCTTGTTTACTTTGAAACTTAGCTTGTAGCCGATGTGTGCACATTTTGAGCAACACGTCTCTGATCCACTGGTGAAAGGACATTTTGATTCTCTCCCTTGTGAGGATAAAGGGGATCGGAAAATGTATGGATGGATGGACAAGTTAATTCATAGTCATAGTCAAATGCAGTAACGGGCGGTGAGTTTTGGACCTGTGCTTTCAGTGGGTCCAGTCCACCTCTTAATAACGCCATAACGTCACAATATGTTTAAAAAAAACAAACAAAAAAAAAAACAATATAATGAAGAACATGTTACTAAACTGTTCCTAACAACACATTTGCAGATTCACAGACGATTAGACGATTGTCTGTCTCGACTCCCTTCCAAGCACTCTCACCCGCACGCATTGAAAAGAAAGAGGCCGATGTGTGGCATTAAGGAGCATTGCACATATTTGAGGAAATTACGGGAAAAAAAAACTGTTACCTTTATCTTCAATACATCACCTCAAGAACTCAACAGTACAATATAGTACCTCACAATAAATTTTTATCGAGATGAAACTTAATAACTTCGCATTCACCAGCGATGCTAATGCAGAAGCCCCTACCTGTCTGTGTACGCTAAATTGCCGACTCACACATAACTACTCTGTAATTGTCTTTTATTAGAGAGATGCACACCCTCGTTTGAATGCTTGGAAACACACAAAATGTCAAGGAAGGCAGATGTGCAACACCTTACCCAGTGTCCCCGACGAGCAGCACAGACTCGCCAAATCGAAGTGATCGTCCAACCAACACAGCTAGCCTCCTCATGCTGTGTGTCCATACCACATGGTGAAAATCCTTTGGAACTCCAGCAATGCTATCAACAAAGGGATCTGTCCACAGGATGGACAGTTGAATAAAGAATATGGCCTGAAGTGGCACGACTGATGCTTTCTACCCATGCAGATATATAAGCGGGGAAGTAAATGCTCCCATAATTCTTATATTAAATTACTCACTAAACTGTTTGTTGACTTGTTTCTGAGAGAACAGGTTTTCTGGGTGCACGGTCCTCTTAAAGTGCCTTTCGAGGATGGACAGGATGGTGGCCTCCTCCTCGGGCTTTCTAACGCGTCCTGCTAGCAACATATATCCTGAACATGAGGGGGAAAAAGTTGATTGGGGGTTTTGAATTAACATAAGAAATAGATTAAAGTTACACAGACATTTTTGACAAGCCTTACCGTCATCAGCCAAATGCTGAAGCCAGTCCTGAGAGGCTTCAGTCTGCTCTTCCAGCCTGTAGCGGTCTGCCCAGCGGAACAGGTCTCTGAGAGTAATGAAGCCATGTTTGCCTGCAAAGACAGAAGAGCCTCTGCGCATTGACTGCAGAGAGAGAGCAGGAATGGCATCACTGGTCAGAATCAAGTTAAAAAATATCATCATCATCATCGCTATTACTTCACATCATGGCTTTTCGTTCACATAAATTTTTCGGGCAGCTATTTTGGGACAAAATTGCCCCAAGGTACATTTTCGGTTTTGGTCCAAAAGACTCACAGTCCCAGAAACAACACGGCCGAAACCGGATGTTGTGATGATGCAAACAAAATGAGGGCAGCGCTTGCTTCTCAAGATGAGGAACCAACATATTTGCATTGTGTACGGATTTCAATAAATTTGAGAATGACACACGGAGAACAAGTAGTGAAACATGTACTCCCCAATAATGTAAAAAAAATTAATATGACAAAGATGGACATATGTCAAGGACAGGACAAAAATGATATAGTCAAACCTTGGTTTTTGAACATCTCTGTTCTCGACCAAATCGGTTTTCGACCAAAAACTTCGAGTTTTTGATGCCTCGGATGATGACCGAAAATCGGTTCTTGACCAAACTGAGCGCACTTGAATGCACCGCTTGACTCCTCTCGCCTTCCTTACGTGAAGAAGTGACGCTCCTTCGGGTAAACGAGGAAGTGACGCTTCCTCGTGTATCGTTCCATTGTGAGCAGACGTATTCAATCAAGATTTTTTTTTAAAAAGCATCGTGTTTATTGACAGCTATACAAATCGGACTGTTATTTCTGCATTGTGTATCACGGCACCAAATAAAGCAAGTGGAAGTCGTAAAGCTGTTGAAAGAGGAAAATAGTGCGCAAAACTATTGAATTTAAGCCTTGATAGCGAAATGTGAATCAAGTGTACGTGTGTCTGTGTTGGCTAAGGAGCGATCAGCAGCATCCTAAAAAAGAATGACCATCTTAAAGTCAATGATGTGGCTAAAGGATCTCGTGTGTTTAGCAAAAAAGGCCATAAATATTAGAGGAAGTGGAGAAACTTTTTCTTATTTTCATAAATGAGAAACAGCTAGCAGTCTTAGCCAAGATACGATTTGTGGCAAAGCATGACAATTGTATGGAGATTTGAAGAAAAAAAGGATCCTAGCATTGCTCCTGAAGAGTCTGATTTTAAAGCAAGCAGAGGATGGTTCAAAAAGTTTAGGAAAAGAAGTGGGATACACTCAGTCTGCTCTTCCAGCCTGTAGCGGTCTGCCCAGCGGAACAGGTCTCTGAGAGTAATGAAGCCATGTTTGCCTGCAAAGACAGAAGAGCCTCTGCGCATTGACTGCAGAGAGAGAGCAGGAATGGCATCACTGGTCAGAATCAAGTTAAAAAATATCATCATCATCATCGCTATTACTTCACATCATGGCTTTTCGTTCACATAAATTTTTCGGGCAGCTATTTTGGGACAAAATTGCCCCAAGGTACATTTTCGGTTTTGGTCCAAAAGACTCACAGTCCCAGAAACAACACGGCCGAAACCGGATGTTGTGATGATGCAAACAAAATGAGGGCAGCGCTTGCTTCTCAAGATGAGGACAAACATATTTGCATTGTGTACAGATTTCAATAAATTTGAGAATGACACATGGCAAACGAGTAGTGAAACACGGACTCCCCAATAATGTAAAAAAAATGAATATGACAAAATGTACATATGTTTTTCACAGGACAAAAATGATATACAGATGCTCCCCGACTTACCAACATGCGAGTTACGAACAACGGTATATACGAACATTTTTACGGGTATGTCAAAAAATAAATGAAAAAGTTAGATTTTGTATTGCGCGCCTTTTTCCGAGTACAGTACAGGTGTAGTGCTTCTTTCCGCCGCTAATACCGACGTGAGGCGCTGTGAGAGCTCGCCCAGCATCCACCCCGAATCCGGCTTCCTCTGCCTAGTTGTTAAATATCTCGTGCATCCATTATTCAATATGGTTGGTGAAAAGCGAAAGGTTTCTATTGAGAGTGGAAGTGTAAAGAAGAGGCAAGCCATTTCATTTCAAATGAAAGTGGCAATAATAAAGAAGCTTGATGCGGGTGAGAAAATGGAGAGCGTTGCACGTGCACACAACATGAATCGTTCAACCATCGGTACCATTTATAAACAGAAAGATCGCATAATGGAACACGTGAAAGGTGCAGTGCCGATGCAATCGACGATCATTAGCAAGTAAACATAATATTTTCCTTACAAGTAAAAAGCACTCATAAAGGTTGTAATGATTTCAGATTTCAAGGGGCAATTATAATTCTGTGGCCTGTCCAAGTTTCACCTCACATTAACATTTGAGCACAAAAGAAATGCCAGCATGTTTCACGGTGCCGCTGGGTGACTCGTTTGCTCAATTGGAAAGAAAGCCACAAAAGCAGACTCAAAAGAGTGGACCAATTTCATGACAATGTGGCAGTATACGAAAACGACGTGGAGCGCTAATTTCACATTTTGAGCTGGCTTTCGACCTCTGTCAGCTTTAGAAGAGCTCAGAGTTGAGATGAGTCTTGCTCAGGACAGTCAGTGGAGCTAGAGCCAAAGGGGGTGCTCCCAACAAGCACAAAGAAACCTCTATATAATGCTGTACTGCTCAAATAGTGGTTTCAGCTCCAATCAAGCTCCAGAAACAAGGGTTAATACTACAGTCAAACCTCGGTTTTTGAACGTCTCTGTTCTCGACCAAATCGGTTTTCGACCAAAAATTTCGAGTTTTTGATGCCTCGGATTATGACCGAAAATCGGTTCTCGACCAAACTGAGCGCACTTAAATGCGCCACTTGACTCCTCTCGCCTTCCTTACGCAAAGAAGTGACGCTTCCTCGGGTAAACGAGGAAGTGACGCTTCCTCGTGTAGCGTTCCATTGTGAGCAGACGTGTTCAATCAAGATTTTTAAAAAAAGAGCGTCCAATGTCAGCGGACGTGTTCAATAAAGATTTTTTTAAAAAGCATCGTGTTTATTGACAGCTATGCAAATCGGACTGTTATTTCTGCATTGTGTATCACGGCACCAAATAAAGCAAGTGGAAGTCGTAAAGCTGTTGAAAGAGGAAAATAGTGCGCAAAACTATTGAATTTAAGCCTTGATAGCGAAATGTGAATCAAGTGTACGTGTGTCTGTGTTAGCTAAGGAGTTCGACATGCCGAAATCAACGATCAGCAGCATCCTAAAAAAGAATGACCATCTTAAAGTCAATGATGTGGCTAAAGGATTCAGATTCAGATTCAGATTCAGAAAACTTTATTCATCCCCATGGGGTAATTGGACTTAACAGGCACGCTTTGCACAAGAAACATGAAAAACAAAGACGAACATGGGATACAGTCTCGTGTGTTTAGCAAAAAAGGCCACAAATATTAGAGGAAGTGGAGAAACTTTTTCTTATTTTCATAAATGAGAAACAGCTAGCAGTCTTAGCCAAGATACGATTTGTGGCAAAGCATGACAATTGTATGGAGATTTGAAGAAAAAAAGGATCCTAGCATTGCTCCTGAAGAGTCTGATTTTAAAGCAAGCAGAGGATGGTTCAAAAAGTTTAGGAAAAGAAGTGGGATACACTCCGTGATTCGTCATGGGGAGGCAGCCAGTTCAGACAAGGAAGCTGCCGAAAAGTTTAAAATTCAATTCGAAAATCTCATCAAGGCCGAGGAATATCTTCCCCAGCAAAATTTTAATATGGACGAGACTAGACTTGTGTGGATAAAGTGGTTCAGAAAATGGATGGAGGATGTTACCTCATACCGTAGCGTAGGGTTGCAGAGAGAGTCCATAGTTACAGCCATTACTTTAGGGTTTATGAGTTCAAGGTGTAAAATAATGTAATCTACAATTGTCACGATGAGAGAGAGAGAGAGATGTTACTTTAATTTTTATGTTACAATGTTAATGTTTGTTAAAATTGATAAAAATAAAACATACAAAATGTTTGTACAGTTTGTACAGTATTTTACATATTACCTGCTCTCTTATTACATGTGTATACAGTTTATGGTGTAAAAAAAAAAAGCTTTAAAAAAAGTTGTTTTCTAGACTTTGGAACGGATTAAAATTTATTTCATTGACTATATTGGGAAACATGGTTTCGGTTTTTGAACAAATCGGTTTTCAAACAGCCTTCTGGAACGGATTATGGTCGAAAATGGAGGTATGACTGTACTTAAGTTTACATCACACCTACGTGGCAGAATTATGTTGACATGGTGAAGGTTTGCCAAACTGCACCTCAAAGTGTTAAGTAAGTTTATACCTGTAATTGTAGTAGATAAACTGTCATTTATATTAAATAATGCTACATTTGCCTTTATTTTTGTATTCGATAACACAGTGATAGTCTGTTGTAATCAAGATTCTTTGTTGAAGAATACATTTGAAAAAGTAATCGCAAAAATATATCACAATCGCAATTTTGAGGGGGAGGAAAAGAAGAAGAAAAAAAATCTGAATTATTTTCCATCGTTGAGAATTGAGATTATAAGAAGAATGGTTGTTGGGGGATCTTCGGACTCCACTCAGCTTGGGGAGCAGACATCGAGGTGTCTTTGTTTTTGTATTTTTTGAGAGGTGCTCCAATACAATAAATCATGGGTCTCAAACCCCAATCCTCGGCGCCCGACGGATCGTTGCAAAACGTGGCGGTCGGAGCCGGCCGGGGGACGGTAACGTCCGTCGAACCCGACCGTCGCGGGGCGCAAAATGCGCTGCGTCGAAAACCCGAACAACGCGCAGGATCTTTCATGGGTCTCAAACCCCGATCCTCGGGGGCCGCTTTCCTGAATATTTTCCATCTCTCCCTGCTGCAACACACCTGATTCAAATGATCAGGGCCATTATCAGGCCTCTGCAGATTATGAGCTATCACTTATTTGAACCAACCACTAAAACAGACATACCTGTAGATCTATCATGACCTTGACTAGTTTCGTACAGTACGATGGAGGCATGCTGCACCGCAAATGGAGGATGGTCTCCAGCTCTGTGCTAGGTAGCTCATCAAAGTGCAGCTCCACAAAGCGATTCCTGAATGCTCTGGAGAGAACCTAGAGGAAAACGAGAGGCAAACATGAACAGGGTTCTAAATTAAGACCTAATGGGGCCACAACGTGACAAGGTCAAGGTCACGAAGGTCAGCCATCTCGTGACGAGATTTCCGTTCTCGCTAGATGAGATTGGCGAGATCGGCCTTCACCTCGCAGGAAGCAGACGATTGCCAAGTTGTGTAACGTTAAAACAAGTGTTGCGTACAAGTGTTGGTTGATTGCGGAGATATCACAGAGGAAGCAGCTAAAGTTGGATAGTTGTTTGCGATGATAAATTGACTTTGAGAAAGCCTTGCATCATTGGAAGCAGAGTAAAGACAGGAGAATTTATGAACTCAAAGATTGAACCATGGGATGAAATAAGAACCTATTTCTCAACAAATCTTGTATGCCTGAATTATTAAAATTTTTATAGCATTTGTTTAGAAGAAATAAACCTATTATAAATGTATATTGTTGTTGTTTGTGTTATTATCATATGCAATTGAATAAGTAGACCATTTCAGAATTCAAAATTTGGGACTCTCTAAATGCATAATGGGACTCATATTTTTCTGATCACCGAGTCCCTGGGACTCGCAGGGCTCAAACTGTAAAATTATCACTGGAAGGTTTGTCAAACGTTCTCAAGACACTCACCAGACTTTTCTTGTCACAAGGGATAGGTGCATCGGATTTAAAAAAAACTAAACATTTTGCAATTCTTCCATTTTCCCTTTTACTGAAAATGAATATCTGACCCTAGTAGCAGTTGAACTGTCAACCAAGATATAATTTTGCAGACAACATAACCACAGGTCACCACATACCCTCGTGATGTTCAAACTTTTTTTTTCCCTGCTGGAAGAGGAGAAACCCCTTCTTTTCTCCGCCCGAAGCAACCCCGTGAAATAAACGTGAACAGCAAAGAATAAGTAATTGCAACCATTGAACTGTTGTATTATGTGACAGAAGCACAGGGTACCAATAAATTTGGCCATAATTGTCAGTATTATCTTCATGGAATACCTTTCGACCCCCATAGAGACCAGGAGGGTTCTGGGTAGCAAACAGCATGAATCTTGGGTGAGCCTTGATGACTTCCTGTGTCTCCACAACGAAAAGCTCCCTGTTGTCATCTAGCAGCCTGTTGAGGGCCTCGAGAACATCAGTGGGGGCCAGGTTCAATTCATCAAGGATGATCCAGTAACCTTTCCTCATGGCATCGATGAGAATGCCTGCAAGTGATTCAAATACAAGCAGCGTTGACAGTCAGCTCCATCACTATTTGGACATTGAAAATATTTTGAGCTTTGTACAATGGATTGTAAGTGCATCCTGAGCTTTAAATTAAATTACAGCCAAATCGAGTGAAGGGTTGTAGGAATTACAACAGTTTATAAGTGCCTTCAACTTTTTAAGGGAACAAAGGTAATTGAACAACGAAAAATCATAGATCAAACAGTCACTTTTTAATATTTTATTGTAAATTCTTTGGAATCAATGACAGGATGACATTTTAAACCCATGGATATCACCAGACCCGAGGTTTCATATCTGGTGATGTTCAGTTCCTGCTTGTTCTTTGGGTACTTTCAGTTTTGTCCTCAGGAAGTCAAATGCATTCTCAATCAGATTCAGGTCAGGTAACTGACTTGGCCTTTGCAGAACATAGCGCTTCTTTGCCTTCAAAAACGATTTGGCTGCTTTCACAGTATGTTCGAGGAACCCATCTGCATTGTGAAGCAATGAATATCATTCTGGTACAAGTTGGTCTGTGTCTCATCTGTCCATAAGTTGTTCCAGAACTGCACAGGTTCTTTTAGGTGTTTCTTGGCAAACTCAAATCTGGTCTTCCTGTTTTTGAGGCTCACCATTGGTTTACACCTCGTGGTGTATTTCCTCTGTATTAAACACACACAGGTCCAGTATTTAGCACACACTCAGGTCTACTAAGCCGAACACACCATTATTGACTCATTCAAAGGCATTTTCACAGAGTCAGTTCAGAGTATTTTGACTGATTTTTCAAGACCCACAGACAATTGTGTTCTACCACTATCCAGCCATTCATTTTCTACCGCTGACCCGGGATCGGGTCACGGGGGCAACAGCTCAAGCAGGGAAGCCTAGACTTCCCTCTCCCCAGCTACTTGTTCCAGCACTTCCCGGTGGATCCCAAGGCGTTACCAGGCCAGCTGGGAGATGCCCAGAACACCTCACCAGGGAGGCGTCCAGGAGGAATGCGAATCAGATACCCATGCCACCTCATCTGGCTCCTCTCGACGTGGAGGCGGCTCGACTCTGTGCCCCACCCGGATGACCAAGCTTCTCACCTTATCTCTAAGGGAGAGCCCGGACACACTGCAGAAAAAAAACATCTCGGCTGCTTGTATCCAGGATCTCGTTCTTTCTGTCAGGACTCATAGCTTGTAACCACAGGTGAGGGTTGGAACGTAGATCGACCGGTAAATTGAAAGCTTCGCCTTTTGGCTCAGCTCCTTCTTCACCACGACAGACCGATGGTAAGTCTGTTCATAACCTTTTCAAGGCGCAGCCGAGGCGTTGAGGGGGTCCGGTTTGGTGGCCTCAGTGTTGGATCTCTGCTTTTTGCAGATGATGTGGTGCTGTTGGCTTCTTCAATCGGGGCTCTCCAACTCTCACTGGAGCAGTTCGCAGCCACGTGTGAAGCGGTTGGGATAAAAATCAGCACCTCCAAATTTGAAAAAAAATCGTCCTCAGTCGGAAAAAGGCGGAGTGCCCTCTCCGGTTCGGGGATGAGTTCTTGCCCCAAGTGGAGGTAAGTGTCTTGGGGTCTTGTTCCTGTTGTACCATTATTTATACATCAAATCTACCCAACGCAATAATAGACTCTCTTTTTCCAACAGGCAAAAAAGTTTGATTCTATGTTTTCCATTCTTCAGTAATAAGCAGTGGAGCACAGCTCGACTTTGACAAGTTCAGCCACTTCTCACAGATTCTGGACAAAAGTAGATTTCTGTGTCAACAAACATCGAGCAGAACTGAGAAGTTTGCAGGCAACACAACTTTGAGCTGAGCAGGCTCATTAACTCATTCATTACCCGCCAATTCTGGACCAAGTCTGAAAAGACGTTTAAAAACGTCTTTGGGAGTGAATGAGTTAAGGAAGAGATGATTGTGAACTTGCTGCCCCTCATACTGGAACTGGCTGACTGGTATCAACAGCTGACAATTTCAATTTTCGAGGAATTACAGGGAGGCCAACATCAAGTCCATCCTTAAAAAGGTGCAGCAGAGGATGTAATTCCAACATGTGCTGAGGAAGCACAGCCTGCCACAGTTCAGGCAGTTCTATACAGCACTCGTTTGGTGCTGCAACAAAAAAAGGACATCTGACAGCACACCATAGTCAGGAGTTCCAAGAGGATCATCAATAACCCACTATCCAGGATCCAGCACAACAGTTCAGCTACATTATAATATTCAGTTGTAATGGACTAAAACCTGCACCGGACAGTTGAATGAGTTGCAAACTCCTCGCATTTTGCGACTGATTCCCTGCTGGAGCTTTAAGGGGTTGATTAACTAGAAAAGAGAATTGATGAGTTATTGTGGTTTTGTTTTTGTTTTTTTAGTCAAGTTGAAATAATGAGTGGCTAGCTCTGGAAAAAGACTAAACATCGACAGCTATCCTTTGACATTTCAAGCGACTCCATATTTAGACTTTCAGTAGACAGAACTGATCTCTTACCCTCTGTGAACACCAGTTTGCCCTTGTCATCTGAGCAATAGCATCCTATGTACTCCTGGATGTCTGTGTGCTCGTGGTTGTTGATTCTAACACAATGGTTACCAGTCGCTGTAGCCAGCCAACGGATTAGACTTGTCTTCCCCACAGAGGTTTCCCCCTGGATCAGCACCGGGTGAGTTCTGTTATGGATGAAGCACACAGGACATTTGCAACAGACGATTTGGTTCCAATCAGTAAGGAATGATTTGTCAAAAGTTGTATAAGGAGGTTGAGAAATAATGCATAATTAGTTGACCTTTTTTTGGGTGGGGCACATTTAGTTGGGGTAAGAACCACAGTGTTACAGCAGAGAATATAGATATACCGTACAGTTGTGTTTGGCGTTTTGTGAGTAAAGCTAAAAATCCTTCAAGATATACTTACATTAGTGATAATGCATTGGGATATTTCAATTCTTGTCAAAACATGAAGAAAATGTATCATTTATTTCGAGAACAAAAACAAAATATGCGGCATCAGAAGCTTATCTGTGAGGCTTTGCTTTCGGACGGCTATATGACAAGGTTACAACAATATTAACTGTTCGTTTTCCAAATTAAAAATGATGCTACAATTTCATAATTTATATACTGATCTATTTTTGTCAAAAATGTCAAAGAAATTATTTTTTGACGTCACAAACGCAACGTGATTCGTGATTGGATAATCATGAATGCGGAGATACAACTTCCGCCTACATATTCAGCAGCTAATTTTTTCTGTGTGTGTGTGTGTGTGTGTGTGTGTGTGTGTACACACAGGTGCATGCCAAAAATTTTGAATACCGAAGTAAAGTTCATTTATTTCAATCATTTGTTTCAAAAAGTGAAACTTGTTTTGTTATTCGTTAGACACATTCAAAGCTAAACATTTCAAGTCTTTATTTGTTTCAATTTTGATGATTACAGCAGAAACACAAAAAAAATAAGAAATGCAATGTTTCACAAAATTTGAATGTTATGACAAATGTCAACATTACTGGCCTCCCGTGTCCAAATCTTGACACTTAGTAAACGCAAAACACCGGCAATTTTTCTTCATCAAAACTGAAACAAATAAAGGCTTGAAATATATCAACTTGTCTGTAAAATGTGCAAAAACTGAAGCACTGTTATGAATGCGCTGCACCTACCCTGCAGATACCACCCTTGCAAGGTCCCGTAGGTTGAGTTTGACTGAGGGTGTGAGAATGTAGCTGGGATCCAAAGTTGGCTCCAAATCTCCCTGTGACACCCAGTAGCCCTCAACCGCCACACATTGTTTGCCTAAAGGAGCCACAATGGGCTGAAAGAAATATAAAGAGCAAATAAGGTTGGATATAAATGAAACCGCGTGAACAATTATATACTAAAGCTGAGACAGTTTCATGATTATTAAGTTTTTAGGTCAGAAAAAAATATGCCGTAAATTAGTAAAAAGGAACTATTCTACTCAGTCCCTTCTGTAATAAATCCCCAACATCAGCCTCAATCTTCCCCTTTACAGTGACTGCATGCCATTACAGCGAAGGTACATAACTTTCTCGGAATTCTTACGTGATTGAGACACTTGGTGTTTCCTTTGAGAATGTGCTGACAAACCAGTTTCTGGACCACAGGATGGGACATTCTGTCGAGCTGAGTTAGAAAGCTGAGACAGAAACCCTGCAAACATTCAGTGAGTGGACAATTAGGGGCAAGTAGATACCGGCGCTTGAGCTACTAAACACAAAAGTCAATAAAAGCAGAGATAATAGACAGCTAGTCTTTGAAGCCTTCAACAACAAAAAGTGAACTATTCTAGTGTTTCAATTATAGTGGTACCTCTACTTACAAAATTAATTGGTTCTGGAAGAAATTTCTTCACGAGAGAATCTAGTGTCTCTACTTACAAAAGTAGAGACACGTTTTCCATGTAATGCCCTAATCCGTTCCAAGCCCCACCCAAAATTCAGACATAAATGTTTTCTAAAGCATAAAAATGCATCAAAATATGTAACAAATACATGTTACAAATTAGATTATTGCACGATAAATGAGAGTTGTGCATCATGTAAAAAACAAAGAATAAAGAATAAAAATGGTCATTTAACTTTTAACTGCACCCTCATCGTTTTTTGCCTTTAGTTTTTCAAAATTGTTTTTTTAATAGTTTTTTTTTTGTGTGCATGCAAATACTTGTTTTGTTTTTGTACTTTCTCTTTTTCATAATTTTTGCTGCTGTAAACTGCTACATTTCTCCATTGTGAGACAAATAATAATAAATAATTCTTCTTCATATTTTCTCTCAGAATTGGTTTTTGCCTGGTGTTTAGTCAACAACTGAGCAAAGGACCTCTGGTTTTGTCAGCTTTTAACAATCCAATGTCCAAGGCAAACATCAGCAGAGTGAGTGAACACTTTGTCAGGGGATTCACATTTACCAGTACGTAAACCTATTGGAAGACCTCAAGGCCCGAGAGGTGAATGACACATACGGTAGGTCCCCCTTAGCCAATGGGATGCCAGGATGATGCTCGGTAATAGCCAATGGCAGAGCAGCTATAAGTATGTTGCGTTCAGGAAGCTCAAAGCTGCGAGTAGCAACTCATACTGTATTTTTACCTTTCATATCTTGAAATTTCTTTCATAACTAGAGGCAATATTTTCCTGTTGAGGGGTTTCGTAAGTTGAAAATTTCGTATGTAGAGACGTTCGTAAGTAGAGGTACCACTGTACATTTGGTGAATTCATGTTCATTGGCTTCTTACCTCATAAAGTGAGCGCTGCACAATATTGCATGGGTTCGCTGCCACATACTTCAGCGCCCTACATAGTGTGCGCAGGCTATAGTGGGGTCTTTGACCGGTCCCGTCCACAAGGTGTGAGGTAGCCTCCTTTCTCACTGCCAGGTAAAAACTATACATACATATAGAAGTACATGAATATGATGCGTAAAAATAATCAAGGTATGATCAAAATTGAATTTTGAGACGAAAGGCTTCTCATCCGAGAAGTCTTCATTAATTCGTGCAACAAGGCTTGGTTAGAACACACCAGCCTGAGGAGTGTGAAAACCCCAACTATTTATGTGGGTGGGAGACAGATGGGGGCTTCAGAGCAGGCAGACTGTTGCACCACTAGCTTTAAGGGAGTTTTCCATCTCACAAGACATTGAGGCCACTATCTAGCACAGGGGTGCCCAACCGGTCGATCGTGTAGCCTGTGAACTGATCCCAAGTCGATCACGGGTCGATCGCAGGGATGTAGGGAAAAATATATTTTTTTTTAAATTGATGTGTGTCTGTGTGCACGTTATCAATATTCTACATGTTTGTGTTAGTGCACACTGCACCATAAGCATGCACTCAGTTTCACTTTCACAAAAAAAGTATTTAAAAAAAATAAAATAATACAACAAAGCAGGTCACCTTTAACCTTTGGCGGCGCGTGACCTGCATCACCGTAAGTTGTTAGCGGTCAGCAGTCTGCACTTGCAGCTCGCGATTAGAGCTGTTGTCATTTATCTTTTTTATTTTTATTATTCTCATTCCAAGTTTGTTTCATGTACAATTCACCAATGGCACTGGCAAAGAATGGGAATCAGAAGTCTCAAGAGAAAACTTTTAAAACCATACACGTGAGCTACAATAGTGACGTTGTTGCCCTGAAGATGCTGCCAAAGTGCATCCCGTGCCGCCGCGTCAGGTCTCGACTAAGGTAGGCGGTGATTCCTTTTTACAAACTCACAAGCTCTTGTATATACTTTATTTTTCAGTTTCGTTCGTGTTCTGGGCCATGATGGCCATTGCTCACCATGGCATGCATGTGGGTATGCGTGCACTATGCGGGTCGATCGTGGGAGGTCAGTTGCTTGAAAAGTCGATCCTCGGTCAAAAAAGGTTGGGCGCCCCTGATCTATCATGTTTTATCTTTTTCGCCTCGCAAGGTTTAAAATACTCACTGCGCGGGGTTGGCGGTGTGGCATGTACATGCGGTGTGCGTTTTGTGTCATTTCGACTGTCGTCGCGTGTGGGAGCACGTGTGTAGAAGTGTCTGTCTGATGGATATGTGCTGCCTTCTACAAAAAAAGGGGTTTACTTTGAATTATATGTCTCTTGATATTTGAGCACACACACCAACGGTAGTGTGCGGCCACTTGAGCCATGCCAAATTAAAATAAATCCACGCAAAGCTGTCAAGCGTTCAAATATAAAATGCTTACATTTGGCCGTGCTTTTAATGCAGGCGTCACCAACTCCGGTCCTTGAGGGTTTGAGATTTTTCCCTCCTCCAACACACCTAATTTAAATGATCATTCATCAGCACGCTCTACAGGAGCCTGATAACAATGCTAATCATTTGAATCGGGTGTGTTGGAAGGTGGAGACGTCTAAAACATGCAGGATAAGGGACCTCGAGGACTGTGGGATGTCGGAGGATGCCTGGGAATGAACCCCAAGACAAAAAAAATATGCTCCTCCTCTAATTGACGTTAGGTCCAAGAGTTGTATGACTGCTGGCACTTAAACGTTATTTCAATAGAAAAATGATACGTCATAAGCATGCATTATCTTACTTTATCGATCAGTTAGCATGTGATGTTACTGATTTGAGATTGGTAAAATTAAAATTATTACTCATTTATTTTGTGTTTTTAGCCGTCCACATCAGCGCCCATCAATCGTGGTCCTCGATGGCCACTTCCCTGGATGTTTTCTATGTCTCCCTGCTGCAACATGCCTAATTCAAAAGATCAGATAATCAGCAAGGGCTGCAAAGCTGGATAACGATCTTGATCATTTGAATCACAAGTGTTGCAGCAAGGTAGGATGGGAAAACATCCAGCAAACCGGCCCTCGAGGAACAGGATTGAAGATATCTGGTCTATGTGATCAATCGAGTGATTAGGAAGTGCGACTCATGTTTCATCAGAGGTGTAAAATCCAAATAGAGAAAGCAAAACCTGTCATAGTTTGGCTTTAAACACAGGTGCTTCTACTCAACAGCTCGGGAGCTTGTTTCCCTGCCTGGTTAAATAAAAGCCCCTGGGCCCTGCATCAAACAACTTAAAAGAATTTCCTTTGGGATCATGATCTAACAAGCCAAAATGATATAAAATAAACTTTTACTGGAAAGTATTTTTTTTTCCCTCAATGTGTGCATAATACACAAGTGAAGTTGTTTTAACCTTATGATTCCATCGATTACACTCCGGTGGGGATTCAGTTTTTTTAGGTAGACTGAAACCAAGATCCGCAGGTCTCCCTCATGATCCAGCTCTTCCACATACAGCTCTGTAAACCTGCAGAGATAAAACGTTTAAGTTCATCGCAATTAAGTGTTAGGATTGTTTGCGTTCACATGTCTGCACCACCTTACCGGTTCCTAAGGCCATGAGGCAGGTTTTTTTTACCCACATCGGTAGCTGGGTTCATGCAGGCAAATAGTCTGAAGTCTGGGTGTCGAACAAGGGCAGCTAGAGCAAAACCAAGAAAAAATAAATAAATAAAATAGGCCATAAATGTAGTGGAATATTAAATTCTAAATTTAACTGTACTACTGTGGGCATTTGCAGGAAAATGAGGCTGACAAAGTGGAGCTGGTAGACATGGTGAGGTTTGTCACTCTGAGAATGGATTCTTTGCCTCCACTCAAAGACATTAAGTATTAAGTCACTGATGGAATACTTGGGCCCAGAAGTTTCCCAGATTGTTTTGAAGTACAATGTTGGTGTTTTGGGACAAAAAGAGTCATTGAACAATAATAGGGTTTATGAAGAAATTTGTTGGGACTGTGAAGACAGCTCCAAATGTGACTGCTTTCAAGTCCAGGTTCAAAACTGTTGGCAGCTGGAGTCAATGGCGGAGGAGGGATTAGAGATGGATACATCTCACAAATTCCCATGGACATACCACTCCCAAAGACATTTTTATATGTCTTTTCAGACTCCACACATTCAACCCCAGGTACATGGCTGGTACTGAATGAGTTACAAAAGTCTTGTATGAATTTACTGTGCATCACCAAAATGACACTCCGGTCAACGTCCAACAGGAATTTAAGGACATACAGAAAAGTATCGAACTTCCCAAGGATAATACAATAATGGTAACATAGTCATCACAGGTCACTCTGTAAACATCACTAAGCAACATGTGACACTAGCTAGCAATTAGCAAGCTAGCTAGACACTAGCTAGCAACATGGGCATGTGTGTGAGAATGTGAAGTGAATTTAGACAAGGGGAGGTAGCTAAAATAAAACAGATGAAGCTGTAAAATATTACTGATACATTACTCAAATTATTCGTGCAAGATATTTCTTCTACAAGACCAATTTGTTGTGGTCTATTTTAACAATTTGATACTTGATAACTAAAAACCATGCCTGTTAAATTTGCAATGACATACTTATAGACTACTGATATAGCACTTTCAAATTGACATAACTGTAGATTCACTTTTACAACTAGTATTTTATTTTTCTACCTTACTTTGTTGTGTTAGTTTACAAAGGCATCTATAAACTTTTATTATTCACAATAATAAGAATCAGACTAACAATGTAAGAATAATAATAAGTAGGAGAACAAAAACATGCAGAATTAACACCTCAAGTATCACTTCAAAAAACAAGCTTACCCAAATCTCCACGGTCCAACAGAACTAAGGATCCAGCACTGCTCTCAAGGAGTCCACTCAAACACTCTAGGGTCTCTGCTGCTGCGAGATTGATCTCATCAAGTAAGATCCAATAGCCCTTCTTCACCGCCTTGGCTAATGTTCCCTTTAAAAAAAAAAGCGTTTGAAACTGCTCCAACAAAAGAATACATTTGATGAGAATTTTATGGTTCATAACAATGACGTATTTATTTTTGCCTCCAAGCAGAATAATGATTGAATGTTTTGCACCTCAACAGTATTCGGAAATTTGAATAACGTCTCACTGACAAGGACGTTCAATTTCTATATTTGGTCTCCAGCAGGGTGCGAAATGTCCACCATTTCAGCCGCAAGCAAAGTCATTATGGATGGAGTCAATACACTCAGCTACCAATGCAACCAAGCATATTAGGTTGAATGTGACATTCATTGTAATCAGGAAAAAACAAGGTTCATATTTCAAGGCTTTTCTCTTTTGAGTATGAATGTTTTACTTATGTTTATGTGGGCTTTGTATGTTGGCTTAAAAGGAGACTACAATCATGAGAATGTATCATAAGTGTGATTGTTAAATTACATATGTTATGAATCTGATCTTTGCCTCATGACTTCTACTCAATCGAAACACTGAAAAAAGATATTTGCAATAAAAAATGGACAGCTGGATCACAAGTCCTTTACCTCCACAAAAGCAAAGATCATGGCTGTCTCACAGGCTCGAATCTGCTGCTGAGTCTGACTCAATTTTGTTGCCATTAAGTCCCACTTCTCTTGCAGTAAGGCGGCTATGCATAAAAAGCAGAGGATAAAAAAAGTAAACGGAAGAGCAGTAATTATAATTGTTTCCACTAACGCTTTTTACCATTTGATTTTCCTTGCAACTCTTTAGTGAGGAAAGATTTGCAGACGTGGTCCATGAGTTTGAGAAGGTCGTGCCAACGTTTCTCCCTGAAGCATGTCTGCACATGGCCTAGAAATGCTAGGTTTTGCTTCCTGGAGTAAGTCTGGGAAAACAGGTCCTCAAAGGCCTCCCGCAGGGGAAGTAAGATCTGCCTATGGTCAACTGGCTTGTACCTAATTTAGACAGATAACGGAGAAGTAAGTTGCAAAAAAACAGACGCTATCATATACGCTAAAACTGTGCGTATGACCTGACAGTCTTACACTGGTGTCAAACTCAAGGCCCGGGGGCCAGATCAGGCCCGCCACGTCATTTTATGTGGTCCACGGAAGCAAATCAACCATGTCAACTTGCATGATGCTAGCTAAAATCGAGACCAAAATTTTAAATTCTCACATGTAATAAATAAAAGACATATTGTGAGCATTTTAATGTAACCAACCCCCTCATTACAGTAACTTAAACAATAGTTGAATAAACCGTTACTATTCACTTTTTTAATTTGGTTTCAGTCATAACGGCCCTCCAAGGGAAACAGTAACTAAAATGTGGCCCACGACAAAAATTAGTTTGACACCCCCTGCAGAAGAAGAACATTGTTGAAAAGACATTTTAAAGAAAAAAAAGAAAAACATCCTTCTCTAGTCCCATTTTTATACCTCTGTTATTTTAATTATTATTTTACAACACACCGCATCGTGACAAAGGGTGTTGATGACTGCATGTAAATGTAACCATTGGTCAGTTAAATAAGGTTTGGATACCATGCTTCTTCCTGAAAAATGGCAGCTTCTGTGGTAACTAGTGTAACTTACCCACCAAGGAGGTCCGCAGTATCACTCTGTTGGTTCATGTTTACAACCATCAACTTATGCCCTGGAAGAAATATAAATCACCAATACCAAGGTAAAAATGGTGTGAGTGAGGTTGAATGCTGTGCCAGGATCTGCGGGTAGCCAGCAAGGTAGCAACATTAGCTTAGCCCCCATTTAAAGGGTCCAAAAATGGGTTTTGTTCTTGAATTTGGGAAAACTTGAAGAATAAATACAAGTGGCCCTAGCATGTTTGTATTGTCAAAGCTGCTCCCATAGTGAAATGTGATGATGATGTAGTACTCTATATGGTTTAAAAACCAGGCTGTTCCATTTGTGAATCCAGTTTGTCACCTGTAATTCTGGCCAGGTGTTGTACGGTGGTGGTTTTTCCCGTCCCAGTCTCTCCCACTAACAGAACAGGCTCCTGTTTAGCAATGCACACAGCCAGTCGCTCCAGTAGAACAGCAGCTGGACGAGTAGCAGCAAAAGTCTGCTGATCACTGTTAATAACAATAAAAAACATTGATCAAATGTAGTCAGATTAGAAGAAATCTAGCAATGCTTTTTAAAATCGGCCAATTCGACAATTGTGGTACAAAGGTGTTGGGCTCATGGTGCATATCTGTAATCCCCTCCAAGTTTCGCAACCTTACTGTACTTAAATTCAGCTGTTTTCAGGCTTTTCAAAATGTTTCATTTGCTCACAGAAAGAGGACAGTTTTGTTATAATAACTAGTAATTGGACCTTCTTTCAAAAAGCAAATATCCACTTTCATTTTGTGTTTGTACATGAAGCTCTGTTTGTAGTATACTTTGGTATGCAGAAGGTGATTTATTAAAACAAACTAGGCGCATGTGTTAACCTAAACAAGTTTAACCCAGGAAAAAGCGGATTTTTTTCCCCATGATTCCTGAGCAAACGCGTAGACAGAGGTGGCAAAAGGGGTTGCCGTGTAAATGAGCCACTTACATAATCAGCTGCACCGTTTCAGTCCGCTTTCGAACTAGACTCACTCGACCCACCAAGGCCTCATGCTCAGCCAACGAGATGGCAGGCTGATACATCTGACAGAAGTGTTGCACCTAGGAGCAATGGAAAAAAATGTGTTTCCAACAATGTATACCTGTGTATTATAATATTTAACAGAAACTAAGGGTCTAATTGAGAATGTTCGTTATTTTAAAACAAAAGTTCTGTATACTTTATTTATTCTACTTAATTGTGAATATAAAAAAGTCAGTCCCGAATTTGGTTTGGCAACACCACTTTTACACGCATGGACGAAGTTGTTCTCTGATAATGAAAAAGATAAATAAATAGAGGGGTGACAAAATGGAGCAACAGAGAGACAGCTAGATAAAAATCAGCCAATGAAAACAAGACATTTCTATTGAATTGCGGTTCAAAAAGATTATTTTAAAAAACAAACTGATGGTTTCATCAGGCTTAAACAAAAATGATGGTACTGCAAGAAAATAGTTTGCAGAGTACTGTATATCCCATACTACGTACAGTGGAACCTCTACTTACAAAATTAATTGGTTGTGGAAGAAACTTCTTCAGTAGAAAATGTGGAAGTAGAGACGCGTTTTCCATGTAAATGCCCTAATCCATTCCAAGCCACCCCCCCAAAAAAATTCAAATTGTTTTCTAAAGCATAAAAATGCATCAAAATATATAACAAATACATGTTACAATATTTAATGTTGTGTGTTGTGTTTTTTATTTTACTTTATGTTAACTGTTTTGTTAAGCGCTTTGTTACAGGAATGATAAGTTTGAAAAAAAGACTGAGCAGTTCCAGAGTGTATGCATGTAAATGAAAAAAATTTCATAGAAAAAAAAATGGGACGTTATTATTCGATGTGTTCTCGCTCAAAGAGTGTACACCTTTTTGGTTACCCGTGTATATTCACCTGTGTTCTTTTTTTTTAAACTTTGCTTGAAATACCTTTTCTTTGGAGATATTGAGCTTGCTTCCAATTATCTCAGCCATCCGCAGTTGGCTTTCAGGGCGAGACATCATTGCTGTGAAGCAGTCTTGAGCCTGATTGAAATAGATTGAAATAGAAAGATATTGCTTTCATACGTGGAAGCTAAATCACAAGCAAATAAAACTCTTAATCTCTTTTTCTACTTATGTACCATTTAAAACAATGTTTGGGAAAGTGGCCTTAACAGTCTAAGCAATTAAATTAAAACATGTAAACTTTCTGTAAACTGACTTTTGTCACATTAAAAATTGTGACCAAAGTCCCTTGCCTCTTGAAACACATGCTGGGCAGTGGCGGAAGAAGTGCCGTTAAAGTTGACGTTGATCCTCTCACACCATTTCAGCAAATCTCTAGGGAATGAAGAAGACACAAATTGCCATAAAGAGATGTGCAGCAATGAAATAACAGATGGGCCACATATATATAATCATTAAGGGAGTCAATGTATTTACTATCTTCTAACATTATACAATTTTTATATAGCAGTAGTCCCCAACCCCCGGGCCGCGGACCGGCACCGGTCCGTAGGTCATTTGGTACCGGGCCGCACATAAAGAATAAATAACTTACATTACTTCTGTTTTATTTATTTTGATCTCTGAATGATGTTTTATTTTGAAAAATTAACGGATACTCTGTTACAAACGTCTACAGAATGTCAATCTTGACGCAGATCAAGGCACGCTTGTCGGTTACGTCATAGGTTACCGCTAAAATGAAACCCGGCAGATAGCAAAATGAGTAATAAACAAACATCTTTGGAACGTTTCTTTGGGAAGGGGAAAAGACCCAGCCAGGAGACAGAAGAGTATCCTCCGACTTTCAAGAAAAAGAAGGCTACATTTAATAGACAGTATCAAGAGTCCTACTTAAAATTAATTAAATTAATTTATCTCAACGGGAGATTCCCACGCACCAAGCCCACTCTGCATAACATGCGGCGATGGTGAGTCGTATTTTTCATGCACTTTGCATTTGCGGCGTATGTTATTTTGAAGGCACGTTTAAACGTTACCATAGCGACCAGTGTTGTGGCCAGATAGGATGTTCCTCATGTCATGATTCGTGTTGTTATGTTTTGAAATGATCAGTTATTTTGTTGTATTTATCTGTCAAACCTAAAAGGCCGGTCCCTAAAAATACTGGCTGACAACCATGGGGCAAAAAAGGTCGGAGACCGCTGTTATATAGCACATTTCACAACAGCTGCTGCTGTAGCGAAACACTTTCCATAACATAAAATAATACAACTAAAGAAAGTGAAAAGAGTAAATGAAAACAAATTAATGATACTCATACATATACAGTAGACAACAGAAAACAACAGAACAGTGTAGGTCTCATTTTGGGTCGAATGCCAAGGAATAAAGATGTTTTCAAATGAGTTTTAAAAATGGACAGGGAGGGGGCTCGTCTAAGATTTAATGGAAGGAAGAACTGGCAACAGAAAAGGCTCGATCCCCTCTGAGGAAGCCCAGTTAGTTCTGCCACTTGTCTCTATGAACATATCTGAGTGTGCATGTCCTTGGACAATTTATGTTTCAATGCAAGTAAACTTTATTTAGCATGGCTGATAAAACTAATGGTAGTGCTGGTGGCAGCAATAAGCATAATGCAAGCGATGATTGCTAGTGGTCGTGGTAAGAAACGCCAGGCAATCTCCATGGAAACAAAGCTTGCTATTGTCAAAAAATTGGACGTTATTGAGAAGATGATTCATGTTCCACATGCAAATGGTATTGAGCAGTCAATGATCAATGCCTTCCACCTCAGCAGCCTCCCCAGAACTCTTCCATCCACCTCCTCTTCCATCTCCTCCATCTACGTAAGCTTATTTCTTTTTATTTTGGCATCCTGTACTGTCTAAAAATGTCATTAAAATATAAGTTTTAAAATGTAATTTATGTATAGACAGTATTTGTCTATACAGTACACAGTGTATATACTATATAACAGTGTTTTTCAAACACTAGTGTGCCGCGTGACAGTATCAGTATATGTATATGTGCGGCGGGAAATGATCCAATTTGTATGCCTGTGCAGTCTATCGCCCGGCAGAGTAATCATGTAGTACTCTTCCATACCAGTCGATAGCAGCAGCAGCTAGCTAATCGCCTTGTGCTTCGAGACAAGGGAAGTTTCTGGCGTGAGGGACTACAACGAAAGCTATCTTTCATTTGGATTTACTTTTACCGGAGATGCAATTGCCAATCCGTTGTGCTTGGTATGAGGTGAAAACCTCTCAAACAGCGCTATCGTCCTAAGTAGGCTTCAACTCCATCTGCGAACAAAACACCCTTCACTTCGAAACAAAAATGTGGACTATTTTGTTCGCCTGCGTGAACACATGGAGAAACGAGCAACGTGCATGAGAAAATCCGCAAAGGTAAATGAGAGACCCCTGAAAGCAAGTTAACATGTCAGTGAACTTGTGGCTAAATCAAAAAAGTCCCACTGGCAGAGCAATTAATACTTTCCGCCTGCAAAGCTATTGCAAATGAGATGTTCGGACCCGAAGCAGCTAAAGAAATAGCCTGACTGCTGTAAAAACTAAAAATAGAGAAAGACTGAGAGCTGTGGAGGAAGAGCTTTGTGTGTCTTTCATCGATTGCTGCCAGGATCTCTGATCTGTGTTCATCCAAACCATTTATCACACTGAGTGAGAATATAGAACAGATGATAAAATACTTCATTCCTATTCAAGGTGTTATAATGTGTGTGTGTGTGTGTGTGTGTGTGTGTGTGTGTGTGTGTGTGTGTGTGTGTGTGTGTGCGCAACATGAAAATTACACGTCCTCCATGAAACTCACTAGACCCCAAAGCGTAAGTCTGGCTTTCATTTGCTTTATGTCTTAACCAGCACTCGCTTGCAAGATGCAGGTGGTTAGACAAGGAAAATAAAATAAAGCTGTCGCGTGGTCTGCACTTGCTTTTCATGTGAAGGGAAGGGGGTTCATCACTTGTCAAAAGAGATCTGAAGTTTGTTATTCATGGTGTTAATTCCCTTTGATAAGTATCATGACCTGCTGACACCCAAGGTTTGCATCTCTGTTTGTTCTTTAACAGAGCGTAAAGTGATGAAAGTCTTTTATTGCTGGTGACGAACAAAAAAAAAATCCCCTTAGAAGTGCTTTTAAATTACATCAGCGTGATAGCGTGAGAGTTGGAGGTGTAGACTGTAGAGGATCTGTTTGTGAGTGATGTCAGGGGATGATTATTTTACAATGATCTAATTTAATGACGATCTCAGATTAAAAAATATATTGCTTTATTCTCCTGTCATTCGAGGGCAGTCATTTACAAATAAAATGGGAAACTCTCACATTATCTAATTAGCTAATTTAATGAGACCTGACTAACCACGTGTTGAATGAAGTGTAAAAAAAACCCAAAAGATTTTTACTTAATTCTATATTTGTACAACTGTATCAAAATACATTTCACCTGCCTGAAGCAGTTCTACTCCAACTGTAACGTTTCACTGAAGGAATAGCATGACTGTTCATTAGCCAATTTAGTACTCGACCACTCCTGCATTTGTCAAACATATTGTCAAAGGTCACGGACCGGTGGAGGAGTGGTTAGTGTGTTTGACCTCACAGTGCAGAGGTCGTGGGTTTGATCCCAGCTCCGGCCTTCCTGTATGGAGTTTGCATGATGTCCTTGTGCCTGCGTGGGTTTTCTCCGGGTACTCTGGTTTCCTCCCACATTCCAAAAACATTCATGACAGAATGTCTGAACACTCTAAATTGTCCCTAGGTGTGAGTGTGAGTGTGGATGATTGTCCTTGTCTGTGTGCCCAGCGATTGGCTGGCAACCGGTTCAGGGTGTCCTCTGCCTACTGCCCAAAGACAGCTGGGATAGGCTCCGGCACCCCCCATGACCCTTGTGAGGATAAAGCGGTTCAGATAATGGATGGATGAAAGCTATCTTTCATTTGGATTTACTTTTACCGGAGATGCAATTGCCAATCCGTTGTGCTTGGTATGAGGTGAAAACCTCTCAAACAGCGCTATCGTCCTAAGTAGGCTTCAACTCCATCTGCGAACAAAACACCCTTCACTTCGAAACAAAAATGTGGACTATTTTGTTCGCCTGCGTGAACACATGGAGAAACGAGCAACGTGCATGAGAAAATCCGCAAAGGTAAATGAGAGACCCCTGAAAGCAAGTTAACATGTCAGTGAACTTGTGGCTAAATCAAAAAAGTCCCACTGGCAGAGCAATTAATACTTTCCGCCTGCAAAGCTATTGTAAATGAGATGTTCGGACCCGAAGCAGCTAAAGAAATAGCCTGACTGCTGTAAAAACTAAAAATAGAGAAAGACTGAGAGCTGTGGAGGAAGAGCTTTGTGTGTCTTTCATCGATTGCTGCCAGGATCTCTGATCTGTGTTCATCCAAACCATTTATCACACTGAGTGAGAATATAGAACAGATGATAAAATACTTCATTCCTATTCAAGGTGTTATAATGTGTGTGTGTGTGTGTGTGTGTGTGTGTGTGTGTGTGTGTGTGTGTGTGTGTGTGTGCGCAACATGAATATCGGATAAAGCCCCTTAAAGAGGACTTTAGAAATGAATAGTGGGCTGAACCACACCTTAAGGAAAGTGTTCTACTCTCCAGCCGAGTGGAGATCTCCTCAGACTTGGACTGGTGGTTGTCATTGGGGCTTGGAGAGGACGATGGGTCCAAATGTCTATCCCCGGTGAGGTGGCAGTAGATGTCTAACAGACGATCTGCCACCATTGTCAGGGTTGGGTACTTGCTAATGACCACCTAAAAACACAGAACGGATCAAATAAAATAAAGGTCACTCTTACAACACTGAGTGAAGTTGGAAAGATACAATACAGTGCTAAGTCTTGTAGGTATTCTTAGTCTTGTTTTCCTTAAGGTGTATCGGGACTACAGTGAGATTTGGAGCTCAACGTTGGAGATCTCCGCCACTGGGGGGAGGCCCTCTTACTAGGAGGGGCAACCCCCCCCACCCCATCAACAGGGGTAAGGGGTTACATAAGTGAAGGCCTCAAATGCCTTGTAAGTTCAAGTTTTGATTGACTTTTAAGTTGAATTAACAGTTGCTGTTATATATGTCATGTTCTGTCCACGGTGGGGTCTAAAAGGATTTTTCTAAAGGAATCATTGTGCAAGATAGGTGTATTAGAATAGAAGAATATTGGACAAGAAACACCTTCCATCAGGGGTCCCCAACCGCCGGTCCGCAGGGCATTTGGTACCGGGCCGCACAGAAAGAACTTGCCTTAATTCCGTTTCATTTATTTCGGAATACGAAATATGTTTTATTTTGAAAAATTACCGGATTCTCCGTTACATCTGTCTGTGTCACGCTTGACACACGTCAAGGCACGCTTCTCCATCACGTGACAGATTACGCTAAAAACAAAATGCCTGAGCTCACAAAATGCGTAAAAAAACTGCTGGAGATCGCAAATGACGGCGGACCTTAAAGTACGTTCGAGACAACTGGATTAAAGTTATGGCTGAATACTCTGAGATCGCCACAATAGCACTGTTGCTATTTCCGACATCCTACCTGTGTGAGACGGGGGTTTTCTGCAGCAATGGCGACTAAAAGAAAATTACGAAGTAGACTGGACATAAACCACACACTTGAGGCGTCATTGTCTCCTATTACCCCGAGATGGGACCGTCTGGTTGCAGAAAATCAAGCTCGGGGCTGTGGGGAGTCGTCATTTTCATGAACTTTGAATTTGTGTTGTTTCGTATTTTGAAGGCATTAAACATTACCATAGCGATCAGAGTGTTGCGGCCAGATTAGACGCTCCTTGTGTTTATTATTATATTTCGAAAACACCACAGTTTTCATGCAGCTCATACCATATTATTTTGTTGTATTATTTCCGCCACACCTTAAATGCCGGTCCCTGAAAATATTGTCTGACATAAACTGGTGCGTGGGGCAAAAAAGGTTGAGGACCCTTGCCTTCCATCACAAGAACATGAAAGTTTGACAGTATGGATACACCAAAATAGCTAGTTTAAACAATGTCTTAGAGAAATGTGGGGACAATTAAAAACTGAAAATTGAAATACAGAAAAAAAAATGTACCTGTATTACCGCTAGACTTGCTAACCCATTTAATTTTAACTTCTGAGAGTCAGGTTTTAACACTGCATTTTTCATCTCAAAACTTACCGTCTTCAATTCTTTCCTTGTCATATTACCAATCTCCAGCTTGGTCCAGTACTTATCCAGCAAAGCTGCATTGGAGTTTGTTGGTTTGTGCCAGCTGCCACCGCTGTAATTCATTCTGCAAAAAAAGCCAAATCTTAAATACAGCTGTTTGTAGTACACAATAAATCTTGACAATTTTTGACTACTACTAGTACCAAAATGTAATTCAAAGCAACATTTTCACACCGGGATATGTAGGTATGTGAGAGAGAGAGAGAGAGAGAGAGAGAGAGAGAGAGAGAGAGAGAGAGAGAGGAGAGAGAGAGAGAGAGAGAGAGAGAGAGAGAGAGAGAAGCGCAAGCGTGTGTGTTTAGTCCAGTGTTTTTTTTTTCTTTTTCGAGCCAAGGCACATTTCTTTCATTAAAAAAGTCCTACGGCACATACCTGAAAATGTGAAAAAAGCTTATTTTAACAATTAAGTGTTTTTTTAACATTGAAAATGAATGCAATGTTATGACACATTGAATCGGAATCAAATCAACATCAATCCAATATTTGGTGCATTCATTTTAATGGCAAGTAAAATATAGTCAATTAGAACTTTAACTTGCTCAGGATCGGATTTTTTTCTGTGTGACCGTCAGTTCTTTTTCTCCCGGTTGTTTGCGCTCTCCCGCAATATTGTACCAATCCCTTTTCCCATCTTGAGTCTCTGTATAATTCCAACATCATTCAAATGACTTTTCTGCTGAATGTGTCGCATTAGGTAGTCCAGCTTCCATTTAGTCCGTATTTTTTCCATCAGAAAATTTGCTTACAGCTTAAGCTTTGCTGCATGTTTTGCAGAGCAGACCTTTCTCGCTCGAAAAAGAAAATATCTCACCCAGTTTTACTGCTTGTTCTTCTATTTGCACATACTCCGACAGCCATTCCAACTTAAAAGAACCGAAGTTCATTCTTATTTTGGTTTGGAGAGTCGACGTATCACGTTCACTGCCCGGTCGTTTCGCCACGATAAAGGATGAGCAATAGTGTCACTTATCGCTGCCGCACTGTTGTTGTTGTTATGGAGCAGAGAACATGCGCAGTTGCTGTCAATGCCGTACTGATTGGCTGCATAGCGTCATTGCATCGTATCGTGTGATTGGCTGCAACACCTGTCACTCACTGAATTACACAGCAAATTTATACAGAAAAAAAAGTTATATATCTAATTCATTTGCAGTGCGTTCACTGCGCTGGATTGGTTTTCTTGTGCGCTGAGAGTGTGCAACCAGTGTGCAGTTGCGCAGCTTCGAAGGAACATTGGTGCCGTTGCATCTACAGTAAACGTAAATCAAAATGAAAGAAACCTTTCATTGTATTGCCTCGCGTCGGAAACGTCGCTTGTCTCGAAGCATAAGGCATTTACTTAGCTGCTGATGCTCCCTAGCAGTATGGAAGAGTACTACATGATTACTCTTCCAGGCGATCGACCGCACAGGCATACATATTAGAAGTAAAATCTTAAACCCAAGCCCAAACCCAACCCGGCCTAAAATGTCAATCATTGTTTCGGGTCGGGCTTCTCTCTCGCTGACTTTTTTAAAATAAATATGTTTATAAAAATGTATACTAAAACGATGCGTGGATACTAAACTAAGGAATACTTGTTTTAAAATAAATAATTTGGATAAAACAGAGAAGGCGCTGTAATGTAATTGCTATTTAATTCAAAGAACTCCTTCCTGTCTTGATTATCCACCCGTCATTGTTCTTCTTGGTCTCTATGCTTCTCTCTCTTAAAAGTGCCGCGCTAGATTCTCTTTAGGACGTACTGCTGCTGTGGTTTATGGCCCAATTTTGTGTTTCTGTCGGTTTTGGTTTCGTTCATTTTCGGGCCCTTACGGCTGTTGCTCATCGTGGCGTGTGTGCGTGCATATGCGCGCGCATTGGTTAAGGACAAATCTTTGAGTATTTCCTTCATCTGCTGCAATCCGGATGAACCAGAAGGAGCTATTTTTGTTTAAAAAAAAAAAAAAAAAAAAAGAAAGAAAAAGGGGAAAAAACCTAGATGGATAGATTTTTCATGACATCTAGCTTTTGTCAGAAGTGTCGTTATAAGCTTCCATGGAGGCGTGGTTGAATGACTGAGAGGGGCAGCTCTGCACTGTGGAAAGACCGTGTTTAGCCCGGCTATTTTTCCAGCCGTAGTTTGTCGCTAGCTAGTCCAGCACAAGATACCGTAGCATCAAGCTTTCCTACTGTAGTTTCAGAGCAGCAGAAAGCACGGGGTGAGTGACTTTGACCTGGACGATGCAGCTCCTCCAACTCTGTGGTGGACGTGCCACATAATGCCATTTTCACACAAAGGCTAATACAATGATGTAATAAACAAGCGTTACTGCAGTGGGTCCAAATCTATACGATTAGCCGAATTTATGTCTCCAGGATATAACGCCCACCCCTAGTGCCTGTGTCCGTTTTTTAACCCAACTATCAGTTCAAGCATTTCTCATTACTGACAATTACTGTTACACAACATCTAAGAGAACCTAGTATTTCTAGACGACTAGAACTTTGTAAACTATTTAGAAATGTTATTACAATGAGGGAAAATGACATAACACAAGGATAGAAATGTAATCAGAGTCAACACATTTAGATTAATTTCATGATTTCCATACCTTCTTGTGGCAAAGAACTGAAATCCAGGTGATATGTCAATGCTATCTTCCCGTCCTGGAATCATTAATGTTTTGTTCTCCATCAATGGAAGGAGTACAGATATCTTAAAACACAAAAAAGTAATTTCAGAGAAAATAACTTGCTGGCAAGGACAAGAGAAACCTTATGGAAATAGCAACGAAAGAGCAACAAATACTCTCACACTTGTCAACGAGTTGGCCTCCCGCATGTCATGCAAATGTCAGTGCTCACAGTTTACAAATGAACTGAGATTAAATTTCAAACAGTTTAACACTTTAAATTTAAATTTTCAAGTGCACTGCTGCGGTTTTGCAATGCTTCCGGCGCCATTTAATTGTGGGAAGAACACATTTTTGTATCCACTCAAAATGGCAAGTCCTCAGCAGAAGGCACTTCAGTTTGCGAAAAAAATGGCCTTGTCACAGTGCTGCGTGCTTTTAGAAGAGAAATTGGCACTGATCCGCCCCACTGTGAGAGCCTTTGACACTGGGTTAGACTATTTAAAGCAAGCGTGGGTATTGCGTTTGCTATTGACTGGTACCTTGCAAAGGTGGTGTCGGTCCATCGCATGGTCTTAACTCAATCACTGCTGGGCCTCACAGTTTTATGCTATTGATACAGCTGCCTGTCAAAGGTGGTGACTTCAGTTTAAAAAATTACCGTATTTTCCGCACTATAGGGCGCACCAAAAAGTCTTCAATTTTCTTCAAAGCTCACCGAGCACCTTAAAATCCGGTGCATCTTTTGTATGGTCATTACGGTAATACGTCGACTCCAAGATGGCTCCTTCCTGGATCTTTTGTATGGTCATTACGGTAATACGTCGACTCCAAGATGGCTCCTTCCTGGAGACATGCTTCCAATGTTATAACTTGCTGTTGGTTCAGTGAACTGTGTCGCTGCTTTATTAAATAAGTTTGTGTTGCAGCTCCGAAAAAAGGAGAGCTGTGGTGTTCATTTTTTAAAACAGCTTCAACAAATACCGGTACGTCTTTGTCTGTCTCCGTGCCTTCTTCGTTCAACTCGAGAGGCGTTCAAGACCGCCTCCAAAAAACGTAAACTAACGATTACTTCCATGAAACTACAAAAATTTAAAATAATATATCAAAACTGAAAAGCAAGAGAGGATATCACAAAATAAATTCTATAGCCCCCCCCTACAGAATTTATATTGTGATTTCATCATTTGTGAATACACAACAAAGGAATAAGTAACTACGACTGACACTTGTTGTGTTATTCTGACTTCAAGATGGCGCCGCGAGAGTGGCTGCCTTTCCAGCAGCTCCTATTTATTTTGTTCTTCTACTTCTTCCTCTCATAACTTTGCTGCTGTGAAGTGGGAATTTCTCTGTTGTGAGACTATTTAAGGTTTTCTTATCTTATCTGATTGTACTGTTGGATCTACGATAAAGGAAATGCCAATGCGTTTTTCGGAGGCGGTCATAAACACCTCTCGAGTTGACCGTAAGTTAAGATGGCACGGAGACGGACAGACGCACCTGTATTTGTTGAAAAAAGGAGAGCTGTGGTTGTGGTTTTATTTTATTTATTTTTTTTAAACAAAGACTTTATTAATGGTTTCACAGTCTCAAAAAAACAGGTAGTTTACGTCTTTGTCCGTCTCCGTGCCTTCTCTTCCATTCCACTCGAGAGGCGTTCATGGCCGCCTCCGAAAAACGTAAATTAATTCTTACTTCAATGAAACCACGAAGAAAATCAAGTGAGGAAATCACAAAATAAATTCTGTAGGGGGGGGGGGGGGCTGAAAAGAATTTATTTTGTGATTTCCTCGCTTTATTTTCTGTTTGGATGCATTATTTTCAATTTTCGTAGTTTCATTTAAGTACAGTAATAGTTACTTTCCATTTTTCAGAGGCGGTCATGAATGCCTCTCAAGTTGAATGGAAGGAGCGGAGCATCATCTAGTGGAGGCATTGTAGATTGCACCTTTTAATGCTAAGCGTCTAATGTATGAAAAAAAATTACAAAATAGCCATTCATTGAAGGTGCGCCTCATAATGCAGTGCGTCTTTTAGTGCGGAAAATACGGTAAATAAAATAGATTCCCTTCCTGCCATTGTGAAATTTGTCACTTGACTGACATACAAGACAGCGCGCCATCCACCTGTTGCATACAAAGGGGCTAACTGGTAAAAGTAGCAGTTTCCATGTTGTTTTGTCTACTCTAAATTTAATAATTAAGTATAAAAATGATAAGGTGATAAATAAAGTAGGTACAAGTAGGGGTGTACACCCTATTGTTGCTTGCAATTTAGACAGTTATGGCTGTGTTTTGAGTTATTTAGAGGTGTCCGTACATTGACACTGTCATACAAGACATGCGCTGACTATTTCTCAATGTAGAGAAAAATTGTTTCTTCCTTGTTGTCCTAAATATGTGAGTGTTGATACCGTTACGAAATACTGCAAGTTAAATTAAGGTTGTCATATAAATAAACGGTTTCGGGATTTTTAAACTTACCACATCTAGCGGTGCATGATCAATGTCTTCCAACAAAATCCACAGTCCTTTAGAGACAGCCTGTGTCAGGGTTCCTGGTTGCCATACGAACTTCCCCGGTATATCAGTGCAACGATACATCCCTAGCAGTAGCTGGAAAACACAAAAAAAAAAAATCGCGACTTAAACATTCATTATGGACCTGTTTGTGCAGCAATCGTTGGGTAGAACTTCTGCTAAGCAGTAGATGCTATATTGCACAAGTGTGAAACTCGAGGCCAGGGGGTCAAAATCAGCTTATCATTTTATGTTGCGAAGGCAAATGATTTGCATTGACTCCACGTTTCTTGCCAAAGACAAAGTTGCAAATTGTCTTCACTTTTAACCCATGTGCTGCAGTCGATCTAAATAAGTTTATATAACGCAACATACAATTTTACAAAAATTGTAAAAGTATTATTCCTGAATATTTATTTCACTTTCAACCACTCGACATGTTCAGTGGCATCAGTGCTATACATACACATATAGTTCTTATTTTTTTCTTTGTATTTTTGCCCTCTATGGACAATAAAAGCGGTATTGTGCTATGACCAAAACATAAATATAAATCTATATAAATAAAACATGAATTGGAATATTTCATATCACACACTTTTTATGCTGTGTCTTTGATTTAAAGATGACAATACGCAAAAATCTACAAAAATTGTAGAAATTGTAACATATGGGGTAACCCATGTGTTACAAACATCGTAGAAATTGCAGCACAAGGGTTTTTAACAATGTTGAGATGCTGCAAGCATTTTTCGTTATCAATACACCAATTTAAAATAAATCGAAAAATACTTGAACATATTTTTACTGGCTTCCGATTTCAAAATGTATCCAACAATGATACTGTACGAAGCGATCATACATTTGCTGTCATGTGAATCCGCATCCATAGCGGCCCCCCTGAGGTAAACCATAAACGCGATGTGGCCCGCAACAAAAAAAAAAAGCTTGACACCCCAACTGTATAGTGCAGAGATGAAAGTGGACTTTTCTGAAAATTCTGGAAAAAATAAATAAATAAATGTGTGTGTGTGTGTGTGTGTGTGTGTGTGTGTGTATGTGTGT